AACCTTTGTGTCACTTTCCACAATAGTGAGTTAACTCACAAAGAGGAGAGAGAATATTGTGAGTTACTACTAACCCACCATTGTTTATGCTCTAAGAGTAAGGCCATTCGATGACCAAAATATTTTGGTCATGAAATCATGTATTATTATTTTCTATTCCACCTCACCTATGACCAAATTTTATGATCACTCTCATTTTAATACCTTAATGGTTGTCCAAGAAAGTTTGGTCGTGAGTTACCTTTGTGTCACTTACCATGAGTACCTTTGTGTCACTTTCCACAATAGTGAGTTAACTCACAAAGCGGAGAGAGAGTATTGTGACTTGCTACTAACCCACCATTGCTAATGCTCTAAGAGTAAGGCCATTAGATGACCAAAATATTTTGGTTATAAAATTATTTATTATTATTCTCTATTCCACCTCACCAATGACCAAATTTTATGACCACTCTCATTTTAATACCCCAATGGTTGTACAAGAAATTTTGGTCATGAACTTTATCTTTCCTACTTTTACCATACCCCATCATATATTCTCTCGCCTCTCTTCAATCTCACCATAATGAAAATTATTATTATAAATAAATGGCATAAGTACCTTAATTTGTACTCTTAATTGAAAATAATTATACTTTGTGATATAGTTATTAATAAGAAATTAAGAGAGATTGCCTTAAATTAGAACCTCAATATATAATAATTAAAATACGTAACAATACAAGAACACATCTTCTAAACATGGAAATTAAAAAAAAAAACATAAATATATTTTTAAGACAACATAATACATTATTATATTTAAAAAATATACGATAATAAATTATATAACCAAAACATTATTTATAATATAAATTAAACATACTTAATCAAAGGGAAAAACTCTTAAACAGACGATAATACATCCATTATTGCCTATGACCCCCCATACTTACTCCGATCCATAAATGCTCTACTAAATCTGACTTGAGTGCTGTATACATAATTTTATCACGAACACGAGCTCTATTAGATATGTAAGTCCTTGAACTTGCTAGTCGGTCACAACTTTTTCTTAATTGAAAAGGTTCCTCAATGTTTCTTCTGCGTGAGGACGAAGGAGCAGCTTGGTCATATCCATTTGGATTATAATATGTTGAATACATATCACGCTCATCTTCAACGATCATGTTATGTATGATAATGCAAGCTATCATAATTATTCCCAACATAGTAACATCCTGAGCTAGAGCAGGATAATGGACTATTGTGAAACAAGCTTGTAGTACTCCAAAAGTATGTTCCACATCCTTTCATCTACTCTCTTGTTTTTTGGCAAAAAGGCCCTCTTTTTCATTTTGTAGGAGAGATATTGTGGGAATGAATGTCGATGATAAAGGGTAAATTGTAACACCCCAATAATCCTTTCTTAAAAACCTGTAAATACCTTTAATAATTTGCAAGAGAATTACTGAAGTGCTAGCGCCACGTGTTCAAACGTTAAGGCTAGTTCATAATTTAGCAGTGGAAAAACTAACTCAGTTATCAATAAGTTTCAAAACCAATAATCAAAACCAAATTTATCCTTACAAGTTGGAACCATTAAGGCCCTTATTCAAAACCCAATAAAAGTAGTAAATAAATCAAACCAAAGTAAAAATAAATCCAAACTTATGAAATGAAATATACTGTGGAAATATCTAATACTCCACTCAAAATCCCACCACCTTGATGCAAGTTCTGATTATGTAAAAACCTGTGATTAATCAGCTCCCCAATATTACAAGTGTAAAAAAATTGGATCATTACAAGGTCATTGAAAAGGCGAAGGCCATGACCAGGGAAGAGACACACAAAAGCACGCAATCAGCAACGCTCAGTACATACAAGCTACGAATTATAACAAAGAATCCCTAACATGTTACTAAAAATCAATCAACACACACAATTTAATTATTGACTCAAACACACGCCTCAACTGTTAACATTACTAAGACTTCACTAATTACTAACAATAATTTATTTCATTTAATTCATTGATTGGATTAAGCAATAGACAAGGTTGTCCCCCCATGGTCCATTTCAGAACATCAATAAAAGAAAAACCCCATGCCTCCTTTTGGAAACATCAATAAACATCCAATGGCAGACGGGCGCGACTCCGTGGCCATAGCTAGTATGAGATCTCATCTAACTCCTTATAGTTTTAAAAAGTATTTAAAAACATGAGACTCGTAGATCAGGCGGCCTCTAAAAAGTACACGGCTAATACCCCGTGAACCCCAACCCCTGTTTGTCAATACTCTAGATATGCACAAATCCTGAGTTTTATTGCTCATCCATCTTGCACTTTAAGTGATTTACAAGTTTAAACTTGGTGATGACTCAAATGCAAAACAATACAGCCAATCATACATCAATCATTCAAACAATTTGAATTTCCAATTCAATTCTTGATTTATTAGTGACAAACAATATTTAGTATTAAATCATTTAACTACCTCGGTGTATAAACACCTTAAGTGCATAAGACACCTCAATCCTCAACCTCGTCTTATAAGACTTTAATTCTCCCTTTACTCATTCCATTTCAATAATCATGAACGAGTAATAAAATAATTCATTCCACATATTCACGTACCTTTGCCTATAAGCTCATCTTGCAAGTTAATGCATAAATAATACTTACAAGATAAATTAATACGCATTTCTCATACATGAAACAAAACCAATCATCACATTAATCACAAATCAAACTTACTACCATACAATTCCAACCAATCCACAAGTTTCCTAACATTATTCTAAATCTTTTAAGTCCTTAAACATGCTCCTAAAGTCAAGGGTTTCGTATCCTTGTACGTACCTTGAGTAAAAGAGTTGGTTATCCACTTTAGGAACTAGAAATCGCCTTCTACAAAGTCCTCTCCTAAACCAAACAATAATATATAATTCAATCAATACCAAAGCAATATAATTTACAACAATACCAACCTACTTTTAAACCCCATAAACCATTGAAATAATGCCTTTAAATTATTCCCAATAGCAAAAGTTAATTATTGAATAGTTCAAATATAAGTTTATATGCTAAAATCATGAAAAAATATAGCTTATAACATGAAATTCCAGCAACTTTAAGGTAGGGACATAATCTGAAAATTTAGTTTAAAATTATAAAACAACCTTATAGACATCTCTACTTGAAATAATCATTATGTAGTAGGTTAGTATGTTAAAAACCTAAAAATCCATCATAAAACCATGATTTAAAACCAAGATTAAAAATCTAAAAATTTAATTTAATAGTAGAATGTATGAATACAACAATTTAAGCTTGAAATATATTATTAGAATTCAATTAGTTTCATAAAAAAATCAATCAAACCTTCAAAATTCAATTAAACAACACTTTAAAACCTTCCTTTTTGCTAGAATTAAAAGCTTATATATTGTTCTTTAAGTTTCCTACATAAAAACCTTAAAATACATACTTATTCATGAAATTACAACAAGCTTAGAGCTTTATAAAAATCTAAAAATTTATTTTACCTTTGAAATCTTGAAATTCTAGAATTCCTTATCACTACATACATTATATAGAAAATTAGTAGACTTTAAACCCAAAGATTCCTCAATTCAATGTAATTAAAGACTCCAAAAACAATAACCAAAAATCTGAAAATTTATTCTTGAAATTAAACTTTAAAGTTCCAAACTTTATAATCATAAAATGACCACAATATTTGTTTAATGAAATTAGAGACTTGAAACACATGAATCAATACAATTTAAACCCAAGATTAAAACTTTAATAATCTGAAAATTTATTTATCATCAAAATATTTGAGTTTTAACATAAATTAAACATAGTATAATCAAATAACTTTAGCAACACGTTTTTGAACCTTAAAACCATGAAAATCAAGTTTTAAACCCTAATTTTCTTAACTAAATAAATCTGAAATTTTAATGCATAATTTAAACATGATAAAACTTATAAATTTATAATCTTTTATAATTCATATGCATAATTAAATCATAATAATTAATAATCAAGGAATAATTCATATAAAGATTGAAGCATTGATCAATTTAACAAAAGAAAATAAAGAAGGAAGGAGAGAGAGAAGGGGCGAACTACTGGTGGTGTGCTGGGCGGCGCGGCAGCAGGCAGACGCCGATGGTGGTGGTGCTCGGTGGTTGGTGTAGTAGCAGCAATTTTTTTTTTGATGGTTAATGCGTGAATAGGAAGAAGAAGAAGGAAGGCAGTAGCAACAACACTTGAACATGAGATTTAGGAGTGAAAAGGTGGAAAATTTTAGGTGGGTTTAAATAATAAGTAGGGTTTTGGATTTCCTAGTTCTAATAAAACTAGGGTTGTTACTTGGGCTTAAAGTTAGTGGGTTTTAGATAAGAGAATAGGCTTAGTAATTAATGGGTTGGACTTGCATAATAATTCAAGATTAAAATATGGGTAGTGAGATTAATTTAATGAAATAATTTTATTAGCTTTATAAACATTAAATTTATTTGCTTAAGTCATGGTAAAATAAATTATGTAAATAAATAATCATAATTAAATATTCACATAAATATGTTAAAATACAATTTTAAATTTCACAAAATTACGGGGGATTACAATCTACCCCTCTTAAAAGAAGTTTCGTTCCCGAAACTTAACCCAAAATCCGTAATTTCTCAAAATTATTATGTTTTGTATTGCTGTAAATTGCTTGCTTCTGAACATATATACTCAACAAACTAAAGTTATACTCGATAAATTTGCACTTGGCCAAAGTTTACATACTTTAATAGCATGCAAACACAACAATATTGTTCAATAATAAGCAAAATCATGCAAACTTAAGCAATAAATGGCATAAATGAGGTAAAAAGGGCGAAGTTATATCGCATTCTACCCCTTTTAAAGAAAAGAGTTACGCCCCCGTAACTCACCTTAAGAAAAGAATTAAGTGAATAGAGAAAGTACCAGTAATCACATCTGAGGACCTCTCAGCCTATCCTTTTCCCATTACAGACAAACGCCCGGGAGTCTTATTCCTTCCCTGATTACCATTGTTGCCATTACCAGTATTATTGTTGCCATTATTGTTACCAATCCCAGACTTCCTATTCTGACCACTCTGCCCATTACTCTTTCTTCCTTGGTTATAGGAATTGCTAGACCTCTGTTGGTTATTTCCACCATTTCCACCATCCCCCTGTTGGTTCAGCTTGGAGTAACACTCATACTCCCTATGCCCTTTCTTATTATATAACCTGCAAGTCACTAAATTCCCATCATAGTTTCTCCCAGGGTGGTTCTTACTACACTTCTTGCAAAAGAATTTCCTCTCCCCATTGCTATCATTAGAAGAATTGCTAATATTCTGGTTACCCCTCTCAGATGAGTTCCCATTCCTAAACCTCTTGAAGTTACCTTGGTTTTTAGAATTCCCATAGTCATTCCTTTTCTCCCCGACCTTAGCACTCTCTCCCACATCCCTAGAGTTTAGATGATACATGTGTGCAGCTCTCTCATATACCTTATCTAGGGTCTTAAAAACTTTCCCAGCTAGGTCTTTCTGTAACTGTTTGGTCAATCCTTGTTCAAACCTTTGGCCTTTATTTCTTCAGTCGGGAAAACCTCAGGGACAACCCTAGCAAGGGTCATAAACTTATTATAGTACTCTGAAATTGACATTCGGCCCATCTCTTAGTTTATAAACTCCTGAGCCTTCTGCTTCTTCAGAAATGGGGGGTAAAACTTATCCCTCAATTCAGTCTTAAACACTTCCCACCCAAAATTTGGTTTGGCCTTAACTATTTTAGCATTATCTCTCCACCAGATATCAGCCTCATCCTAAAGGTACATAGCAGCTTGGTCAACTTTCATATCCTCAAGACAATTCAGTGCCACAAATAACTTATCGAACTCTCGAATCCAGTTTTCCAAGAAAGTAGGATCAACAACTCCCTTGAAAACTGGTGGCCTAACTTGAGCCAACTTCATAAACATCTCAACTTGGGGAACGAGTTGGTCAACCCAGTTTTGATTCAAGTTCTCAGCCAATATACGGATGAAAGGAATGGTGTCTTTCCAACAAGTGTATTATTCTGATAGAGGGTTCAGAATTATTACAGAGCTAATTCTTCAGTAAGGTCAAGTGATCGGAATGCCTAGATGGAGGCTGCTTCTGATCAGTAATATTAAGGTATAATTAATATTACAACTTAATCTTAACTGAACCCTTCGGGTCGAACACAATCGAACAACCGATCCGAGACGACGAATCAATTCGAAGGATTCAATGAGTAGTCGGAGTTTTACGAACACAGACGTCGGATATCGAGCCTAGGGCGTCGAGACCGAGCGTTGCAAAATCACAAGCAACAAGTACAAGCATAGCCGTAGCATCACATTGGCCTAGCCATGTGAAGTGCTAGGCTAGGTTATCTCATCGCAAGCCTAGGCGCACCATGTGTATGCTAGGCGCACCATGTGTGTGCTAGGCGCGCCATGTGTGCTAGGCACACAAGGCAGCCCATCGCAGCAGCATGCTTGCGTGCCTTCGCATGGCACAACACCACCGCAGCATGTGTGCTTGGGTGCGTAGATGCCATCGCAGCCTTCGCATGGCATATCATCACTATCGCAACCCATCGCACAAGCACAACACCATCGCAGTGCTAGGCACTTGCGTGTGTGTGCGTGTGTGTGTGCCTAGGGCTGCCACACCATCGCAGCACACAGCACAGCCTATCGCATGGCTAGGCCTATGCGTGTGTGTGCGTGTGCATGCATGGCATCGCAACATCGCTAGCAAAACACCAAGCATCGCATGCTTGTGCGCGTGGCTGGCGAGGCAATGCCCAGCATGCGTGGCTCGCTAGCAGCACGCATGCTGGCTATGCGAGTGTGTGCGAGAAGGGGTAGGCAGCAGCACCACGCACCAGCTAGCATGGCTATGCGTGTGCATATGCGTTGGCTGGGCAGCGGCAGCTCGCTAGCAGCGCCCAGCGCCTAGCAAGTAGCAGCAGCGCAAGGCATCACCCAGCACAGCAGCATGCAGCGCGCATGTGCTGGCTTGGGCTGATGCATGCTGGCAGTGCTAGCTGGCAGCTAGCCCAGGAGCCCTTGGTGATGCCTATTTGTGAAAGGTGGGGACCAATGCTTGGAGCAAAGCCTTGGGGAGCAAGGCAATGGTCCCCCCATTGGTTTTGGTCCTCAACTAACTATCTCTCTCCCCTTGACACTTGTTGCATGGTGATTGCTTTGATTAATTATTTAATTTAGAATTAAATAAATTATCACATTTTCTCATTCTCCCACATTGGTTTGAGAATGAAATCCAAGGGTTCATTTCCCTATAAATACCAAGGCTTTGGCATTTGGGAAAGAACACACTTGAGTGGAACTATATAGGCATCTCCATTGTTGAGAATACCTTAAGTTCGTAAAACTCCAAAGTTTATATTTTGTCCGGATCCCGACTAACCTTCGGAGCTTAGGACGATCGGGTTAGGTTTGAGGGTACGAACCGTCGGAGGCCTTGCATTTGCGAGGTTGAAGTAAGAGCTCTTTTAGCGAGCGAAGCACGCGTCTAGGGTATAATTCTTTATCCCTTCTTCTTTTAATTATGTATTAATTATGTTTTGCATGCTTTAATTGCTTTAGTTATCGGGGCGGGTCTTGGGGGGTTTCTTTTCGCGTAGTGAGGGTCACTACGAAACATTACAACGGCATCGGAGCCGTGCTCCTTTTAATTACTGTAATTATTTATTAATTAAGGTGTTTTAAATTGGATTTAAATTCTGGTTTTGCTTTTCTAATTGGATTAGAAGCTTGTTTTAATTAATTTTAAAACTCGTATTTTTTATCGTTTTGGCTGTCGAACCCAGATTTTGGCTTAAAAATAGTGTTTTTTGGGTGGAATCGACATTCTGAATCAGTTTCAACCCTATTAAGGACATTCTAGAAGCCAAATTCAAACCAGAAACCCAGTTTTTGAGGGTTTTTTTCGTTTTCAATGAAAATTTTAAATCTTTTATGCCTTGATTTATGCAAGCATGTCAAGGGTAGATTAAAATGCATTATTGCATCCCTAATCTACTGCAATTTAAATATCTTTTAAGCATAATTATGGAGTTATAATATGTGCTTAAGTTGATATGTTCCTTTTCACATAAACTTGCTTTTCACAATTATGCAAATAAATTGCATCAATGGGTGAATACTTGTTGTGAATATGTAATTTTAAGTTCCTAGTATGTTAAAGATCTAATCTTTAAATGTTTAAATGATTGGAACTTTAACCCTAAATTCCATGTTGAACTAATTTTGGATTTTTCATATTTGGTTGATTAAAATCCTTGAAGTTCAAATGCTTGTGAGTAAATGTTGATTGATCTTCATATTGGAAGATGTAATCTTGTTATTTTACACAAGTATAAAAGTTGGAAAATTTTATCATTGGATGATTAATTTATTTTTCCAATTCCCTAATTTGTCAAATCCATTTTTAATTTGCATATTGGTTAAATTAATTATGGACATAGCTCTTTCAATTTTAAGCATCAAGAAAGACCTAAAATATTCCGAAGTAATTTTTGAAAATTAGGCTTGTGCACCGTTAAAATTGAATTTAATTAAGTTGGACTTATTTTATTTTCATTTTTCCTCAAATTGATTCTAAAATAAATTTGGAATTAATTTTGTGTCACACACAAATCGAGATTAAAATCCCAAGAAAAATGCACACAAATCGAGGCAAAACCCCAAGCGTCACCAAGGCTAGTTGGGCTGCCCAGCAGCCCACATGTAGGCTGCCTATGGTGCGCATAGGGGCCATGCCATGATGCTGCTGTGCAGTGTGTGGCGAGGGCTGTTGCGTGCTGTTGCATGATGCCGGGTGCGTGGGCCTTAGGCTGCTGACGTGCTTGTGCTGCTGCTGCTAGGCACCGAGGCAGCATGCCCCATCCAACTAGCCCACTGCTGCCAGCGCCAGCAAGCAGCTAGCATGCGTAGCGTGCTACTGGTGCTAGCTAGCAGAGCAGGCTGCGCTAGGCGTGCTTGCTAGCAGCCATCACCACACACACATGCCTAGCAGCCATGGTGTGCAACCCACTAGGAATTGTGTGAGATGTTTTTGCTTAATTTCGAGCTATGTATTTTGCGAAAATTTTAACGAGGTTAGACCTCGATTTTTCCGGCTCTTGCAAAATTTTTGATTTTGACAAATTTGGGTTAACCGGCTTAATTAATTAGATTAATTAAGTTGGATGCGGAATTTAGTGGGAGCTTAGCTAATTATGTGAACAAATTGCACCTTAGTAATACATAATTTATTAAACAACTTTGACTAGTTTTAATTAGGCGCGTTAATCGGATTAACCACCTAAGTTAGTTACTAGTATTGCGTGTTTACTTTTATTATCTCGTAAATTGCATGGGCCATTCACAAATAGTGAATGGGTGAATGAAAGATTGTTTCAAACCAGGTTTTGAGAAAAATGACAACTAGTGGGACCCGACTAGGATAGAAAATACGGACTGCGTTCCGTTATGTATTTTTGTAAAATCTAAATACGGTCTGCAAACCGTTAAGTATTTTTGTACTTTAGATTAATCTTAGTCATAGTAGCTAGTTATTTTATTTTGGCAAAGATGCCTCAAGACGACGTTTCGATGAAGACGAGCCAAGATGAAGGCCCTTGAAGATTTAAAGATTTCAAGGCGTCATGCTAGTTGCCAAATGCATCTTTATGCTTTATATATATTGTTGTTATATATATATTTGAATGTTAGATGCATGTCTAGGATTTCAAATGTTGCGATGATTTGTTAAGTTCATTTAAATCAACCAACATAGAAACCCTAGGTCCCTTAAAATAATGAGCTAAAATTTGTCGTTCCAAGAACAACACTTACCGAACTAATGCACGTATGTGATGGGCTACACCAAAGCGAGGCATCACTACTTTCCTAGGAACGTAAGGTATACTAGGTATACAAGTTGTCTTGGTTTAGCTCGACGATATCAGTAAGGAGTCCTTAGATGTCGTGGCCAAAGAGATAAAATGTCAAGAATACATTAGATGCGACGTTTTATCAAACCAAGAGTAGCTTAAAGCTATTAGCAATTGGATTGTTTACCCTAAAATATCTAGTGTTAAGACAAGCCAAAGCATGCTTAATCACTTCTTGATTTTTGGGATCTCGGAATCATTTTATTCTCGCCTAAAAGGGACAAATTATTAATGCGTGGATAAAATGCTCGATAAGATTGAAAATTTGCATGAACGCTTTTAAATTTCAAACTTATTGATTATATGAATGGTTTTTCGTTTCAAATTCTTTCAATTGTAGAACAATGTCTGCAAGTAACTCAAACAACAACCAATTCACTTTACGCTCAATTCTCGACAAGGAGAAGTTGAGCGGGCCAAAATTTCTTGATTGGCAAAGAAATCTGTGCATTGTACTAATGCAAGAGCAAAAGGAATACGTCCTTGATGAGGAAAT